GTTGGCCCATGAAACTGTGAGAAGCCCCCACCTTACTGTTTCCATCGTATTGGAACTTTATGAGGGAATTTTTCACCAAACCAAATAGTTTGGGGTAGATAATTTCTTTTATGACTGTAACTGGACCCTGGGAGCAGTCACTTAAATGAAGATGGATAGAGACTTGTATGCAAGCAAGACATTTTGTAGCTTCTCTCCAAAAAAGAGTTGCAATATCTACAGTGTTTCTCCTTCAAATAAACCAAATTGACTGAAGTAAATTCAGAACTGGCCATAACCAAGACACAAATAAAATACACTGCTATTGGATCAAACAATGTCAGCTAAATTACTTTCTTCCTAGAAAGAAAAGGAATAGTGTAAACTATTCATGCTGTGAATGTTGTCAATGATGTTTGAATATTAATCTGTAAATGTCATGTGAATATCTTTTATTTGTGTAAAACTGTACTCATACTGCTACTCAAAGGGCTGGAAATGAGGAGATGGCTTCAGATAAAACAACAAAACACATTGTGGCCTCTACAGATGGATGGATCCGTGGGCGTCAAGCTCAGGCCCAGCCGCTGGCTCCAAGCCTCGACTCTGAGCTCCGGCTCCGAGCTCCAGTTCCCGGTCTCTCTTCTTCTCCTTCTTTCAGACACGTCCGAGGCCTCCGAGGCGAGACGCTGCAGTCTGTCTTATATTTGCTATCACAGGGGTATTCGCGAAGGCCCGGAGGATGTCGTGATATGATCCCACCCATAACTCAGTGAATTATGGCTAAGACAACTGTCAAACTTAAACTCATCCCCACATTGACTTGAATTGCACGGGCCTTTCTTACAGCCACCAAAGGGACTGCAGGTGTTTCTGTAGTTTAATACCTGCAGGGGGAGTCAGTTGTACAGTTGTAGGGAGTATTATCTGTCCCTCTGTAGTCTGGTGCAGTGAGCTGGAATGTCCCTGATGGAGAGCAGTTTGTCCAGTGTCCTTCTGTCCTTCACTGTGACAAATGCCTCCAGCTCACAGATGATCACATGATCAGCTTTACGTATCAGTTTGTCAATCCGCCCAATCTCCCTTTCACTGGTGCTGCCCCCCAGCAGACCACAGTCATGTACAGGGAGCTGGCCACCACAGACTGGTAGAACATCTCCAGTAACTTGCTGCACACACTGAAAGACCTGAGATTTCTCAGGAAGTAGAGTCAACTCATGCCCTTCTTAAACACAGCTTTACAGTTGTCCCTCTGGTCCAGTCTGCCATTTACCTGTACACCAAGGTACTTGTAGCAGTCCACTAGTTTCATGTCATGGCCCTGGATGGTGATGGGCTCCACTGGTGTCCTCTTTCTCCTGAAGTCAATCACCAGTTCCTTGGTCTTGTCAACGTTCAGGAGCAGATGGTTTGCCTGGGACCATTCCACAAAGTTTGCAATCAGTGTCCTGTACTCCAGCTCCTGATAGGCAAATTGTAGAGGATCCAGGGAAGGTGCCACCAGGGGGCTAAGCCAGAACAAGTCTCTCAAATACTTTCATAACAAGAGACTTCAAAGCAGCTGTTCTGAAGTCATTAAGTCCAGATGGTATAGGCTTCTTGGGGCACTAGCACAATGCAGGAGGTTTCTCACAGCACCGATATCCTTTTAAGCTTCAGACTCAGGTTGAAGAGAAAGGATCCTAGTGAGCTGTGCTGCACATGTCCTCAGCATGCGGAGGTTGACTTGGTCTAAGATTAACTTTCTCCAGCTGTCTTCTTACCTGCAGGTAACAAAGACACTGGGCTGGGCTAGTTTGTCTCGTTTACTTTGTCTATTCCTTGAAAATACCAGATTTTGTGCCTTTGTTCTTCCAGTGTCGCTATACTATATATAATACTATATATTATAAATCACATATTATGTCCTGACAGTTAAGTTACTCTTATTTAAACAATGCTTTTCCCTAACACTTTTTTTTACTTTTACTTGAGTAATTTCTTGAACTACTACATTGTACTTCTACTAATAATATTTTGAAGTGACATTACTCTTAGTTGAGGACACCTCCCCTCCCCTATGTAACCCCAAAAACATGCTGGTGTCAGCATTACAAACCGTATGATTAAAGGGCCCATAATAAGTCATTTATTAAAAAACTCCTATTCCACCTTGTGATGTCACGTGGTAATATAGAAAGTGCTCTACTGTGTGTGCACCTTCATTAAAATCATTTGGATGACCAGCACTGGAATTGCCAATCTCTACTGAACTTGTAAAAGCATTTTGAGCTTTGGAGATGTAGACAGAGTTAGAAATGTGCTGTGTTCAAATTGTGGTGTTCCTTCTAACCTTCTAAGACTCTCTCATTTCTCAGCTTTGGCAGTCATATTTGATTACTGTGTTGTCATGGTTACTGTCATGACTCTGAGCGAAGAGAAAAGAGGCAGGGTTATGATCACATGAGCCAAAATCATCACTAAATGTAAGAAATCATGTGGGGAAATAAGGTAAATCATGTAAACAACAAAGTATCAATCTGAATATTTTGTGTCTATGCAACTTCAATATTCCTTTTGGTACTGATTTGCACAGCCCTACGCAACAGTTTGATACAAAAAAAAAAAAACAAAAAAACAACTCTGTAAACATGCCATTTTAGTAGTGCAATGAATATTAAAAGAGATGATGAACAATGTTGGTAAATATAGCAGGTTTTGTCAGACTATTTCAACTATTATGACTACTATAATAAAGCGTTGCTCAAACGTGTGAATAAAACAAAACACAAATGCAGTAACAACATTCTAAGATGGCTTAAAGAGTCCATTTTGTCCAATGCTAATAGAGGCTCTCTACACAGCGTTTAACGTGACCATTAAAACACAGTTCACGCGTGTATTCTCTTTTTGTGTGATCACCACATTCCCCACGGGCACGCTACACTTTATTCTCACTTGTGCAGGCCATTCATAATTTTTCGCCTCACGTGATCAAAAATTCTCACACGCTATTGGGCGTCAAGACTACAAATCATAAGAGTCTATATAACACACACAAATCATAACAACTTAACACACATAATGAATAAACTAAATTCAGCGTCTAAGAAAATTATAATGTTACATGAGATCATAAAAAAAGTCCTTGTGTAAACTTAAACAGAAATGTCAGGCTCTTGAAAAGTATGTTCATTTCTATGCACTTAATACCTGGTTGGGCCGCCTTTGGATGAATTACGCCATCAGTGCTCCGGGGCATAGAAGTTATCAACCTGTGGCACTGCTCTGGTGTAATGGAAGCCCAGGTTCCTGTGATAGCGGACTTCTGGTCATCTGCATTGCTGGCTCTGCAGTCTCTCATCTTCCTCTTGACAATACCCCAGAGATTCTCTGTGAGGTTCAGGTCAGACGAGTTTGCAGGCCAGTCTAGCACAGAAACACCACGATCAGTGAGCCATCGTTTGGTATCTTTGGCTGTGTGGACAGGGGTCAAGTCCTGTTGAAAAATTAAATCCGCATTTCCATAAAGCTTTTCAGCTGAAGGAAGCATGAAGTGCTCTAAAATGTCTTGGTATGGCTGCATTGACCGTGGACTTTAGAAAACACAGTAGACCAACACAAGCAGAAGGCATGGCAGCGCAAATCATCACTGACTGGAAACTTTACACTGGACTACAACGTGGGATCTGTGCCTCTCCACTCTTCCTCCAGACTGAGGAACCTTAATTTCCAAATCACGTGCAAAATTTACTTTTATCTGAAAGGAGGACTTTTCCTACCACACTTTTTCTTCCACGGGCGGGTCGGACAGTCCTTAGGCAATTTACCTCAAATGAAAACAGCGACAGACGAGAAAAATGCGCATGGAATAGACACTTCATGAATGCAGTTTTATAGCTACGCATTGGAACTACACAAACGATGCTCCAGCGTGAACAGTGCACACACGCCTACATAGGTATGTATGCATGGTATGAGATAGATATTTAACATTAATGAATTGTCTACAAGGCCAATTCTTTATTGATAATTAATTATGATGTGTGGTTACAAAATGGTTACATGTGTTCACATAGTCTCTTGCTAACTTAATTATAGTTGTGATTTATGTTATAACTATAACAACACTGCCATCTAGTGGATGCCGGTGTATGTGACTCGGTAGGCTATAGCCTATGTGCATCTGTTTGTGGATTTCTCAAAAAGAATGTCATAGGGGAAATCTGTGAATTTGTGTAACTGGTGACACAAATGCGAATCACATTTTACAACCATAATTTTCAATTTTACAAATATTATTTATTTATTTATTTATTTATTTTGCAAATAAAAAAATGTATACACATCTATTTGTAAAGACCAAAATACAAGTTCAATATATACAATTTGCATTTGTGGATATCAAAACACATGTACAAAACTATTGACTATTTGTAGATGACCCTCTGTGCATTTGAGACAAAAGTAACCCCATACTCCTTGCTCCATGATCCAGGTTCAGTGGAGTCCCAAACTCCGCTCAAAGCTTCTGTGTGCACTAAACACTGTGCGTGCGATGGCCGTTTCAAACAGGTCTAAGCAGTGAGTGTAATTCATAAAAAGAAGTGTGCTAGCTGGGAGCACCACCATAGACCTTAGCACCTCCACAGTGCCCCTAGAAAAAAATGTCTTGCTCTACCACTGGATAAAGATGTTAAATTTTAACTAGATTTTAAACTAGGCTGCTACTTCGAATATATTATTAGTATTATTATTTGGCCTTATTAATTAATAAACTCAATCTTGATCTCTCTTTTTTGTATTGGAAGTGTGGGACAGGTTTGCACATTAAGTGGTCTGCAGTTTCGTTGTTTTTTAACAAAATGGCCCTTGGTCTGAAAAAAGTTTGAGAAACACTGCTCATAACGTTATCATTACGACCTTGATACAAATTAAATTTCGCACTGTCACTAATGTCTAAGTTCACTTTTGTGGGCCAAAGGGTTTGAAGGGGCGTGGTTTGTGGGCGTGAACTTTTGTCCGTAAATAAAAGTTGAGTTCGAGTGTGGGAGACGCGTTCTTGGGCTCCTGTTGTAGAGAGGCACACATTGATAAACCACTAAAAATTATTTGCAAAATTCAGTACTTTTCGAGTTAAAATGGCGCTGGAGTTGTTTTTGGACATGTTTTCGCAGCCTTGTCGCTCAGTTTATATGTTCGCCAAAAAGAACAATATTCTGGTGGAGGTCAGAACGGTTTCACTGATGAACGGTAAGGGCGAGGCGAGTAGGCTACGTGAGGCTATGTCTGCGTTGAAAAACAAGTGAAAGTTATGCTTAAAATTCCGGAAAAAGAAATTTATGATATAACATTTACAAAAATCTTTTAATTGCAACATGTCAAACTTTTTTCCCCCTAAAATTAGGCCTACATGAGTTTGTTTTTGTTGATTTGCATTTAATAATGGCATTTTATTACTTACATAGACTATGTTACTCATAAATGACGAAATGTAGGCCTATTTTATTACTGCACTGTTAGCCTAATAATTAGACTTCATAATGACTTGCATAATGTCTAACGGTCAAGTTATGAATGTCAGAGTTGGCACACTGTGGACTTTAATTAGGCTAGAAACAGACTAAAATATTGGCTAGTACTAGGCGTACTAATAGTAGTAAACATTTACTTTTGTTTGATTCTGTCTGCTTTCAGGGGAGCAGTTCACAGAGGAGTTTGGAAAAGTCAATCCTATTCGCAAAGTTCCAGCTCTGAAAGATGGAGATTTCAGCATGGGCGAGAGGTGATAATTAAACCTTCTTCTCTGCTCACTCTGACCCTCTCCACTGCATTTTCTGCTCCATCTGATCCTCTCCTTTGCATCCCCTGACTCTCCTCTTACCCATTTATTCACTTTCACATTTATTCCCTCCAATGTACATGTCCCTACAAGTACTAGGTATCATATTTCTTGATTGTAAATTGGTAAAGGGTTAGGCTATCTTAATGGTATTAAAAGACTAGTTACTTCAAAGTTGATTCAAAACGTCATCACATCGTGTCATATCATGCATATAGTTCTGTTTGTTTGATTCGGTTGCATAGTTACTTGGACAACAAATATTAAGTCATAATAGGTTTTGTCCAGTCTGATGTATGAATGATAACATACCAGCTAATCTGGCTTTGCTCCTGTCTGCTCCTCTGGCTCCACTCCTCTGATTCTGCTCCTCTGATTCTGCTCCTCTGATTCTGCCCCTCTGGCTCTGCCCCTCTGGCTCTGCCCCTCTGGCTCTGCCCCTCTGGCTCTGCTCACCTAACCCTCCTTTATTTACTTATTTATTTAGCATTGCGATGATGCAGTACATGGCAGAGAAGTTCAAAACGCCCGATCACTGGTACCCTGCAGATCTTCAGAAGAGGGCGCGGGTGAACGAATATCTCTGCTGGCAGCCAACAGGCATTCGAATGCATGGCTCCAAAATCTTTTGGTTAAAGGTACTGAATGCATTAAGCAATTTTACTATTCTACAAACATGTTTCAGTATGGTAATACTTTCAAGAATCAATTAAATACTGTAGCTTCTGAATAATTAATCTCAACTAACAGACATTGAACTTTCTGCTAGTTTTTGTTTCTTGAGGATAGGCAGTAATTCAATATTAACCATAAACCAAGTCAAGAAATCTGCAATCTGACAGCTAAACAGCAAATTTCATCCTGACTTGTTCTTCAGCTCAATTTAAACTATGGACATTTTAGGACGAAACTGTGTAATAGTGAAACCGGCTAGAATGCAAAACATATCCATCTGTATCTAAGCATGAATAAATCCAATCTTAATGCTTTTGTGAAATCTAAGTCAGAAAATATTTGGCTACCTTTCACATGAGTTACAGTAATTACTTAAGTGCTTTCATTTGTCATACTTAACTGACCTTTGTCTGTAACACAATGAAGGTTGTTATTTTGTGATAAAAGCAAACGATCATTAGTTGTCAGCCAAAAGTCATGTGTCCTCAGTTTGAATTCTGACGAACAATGTAGTAAATGAGGATAAAAGGTTATGGTGTCACAGTTGAGAAGTTACAATACTTCAGATCTATCTCATGTAGTTAATTACAGTTTATCAAGTATGTACCACTGGCTGCACATCAGTGTTGTGCATGAACGAGTTCAAAAGAACGCGTTCATTGAACACGTTCATTTTTCAGTGAACTTTGAACTGAACGCAACACTTTTGTAAATCAAGAACTTGAACGTGAATTTGTTCAAATTATGTGTGATGAACGACGTACGTCACTGTTGGGGTTCAGTTAAACGTCGGAATTTGACGAGTGACGATCTGCTCGCACTTCACCTCGCGAAACCACAGCCGCGTGTCAACGTGAAGGCGACTCCACCGGCAGCTTTAGCAGAACGTACGGGCTCTTGTGTCTCTCAATGGGAAGTCAATCAAACTTGACTGGGCGCGTTTAGCTGCTTGTATTTACCTTCTGTACAGGCTGACCACGGCAAACGCAAGGATTTCAAAAGTAAATTTCAAAGCACTAGTTAACAGTCTATGTCAGGGGTGTCAAACTCATTTTGGTCCAGGGGCCGTATCCAACCTACTTTGATCTCAAAGGGGCCGGATCAGAAAACTCATGGCATATAAACCTCAAAAATAACAATAAGTTCAAATATTTGTGCAGAGAAACACTAAATCTATTACAGAAATCTTTTTTTAATTGATAAACTCCTTCTTTTACAAAATATTATAATATTATGAACAACCTGAAACATAAAAAAAATACAATTTCAACACAATGTTTTAACATTAACTTGTGTGCAAATAGGAATAAGTCAATTTTTCTTGTAAAATCCTGCACTCAGTGTCCTCTTTTCTCATTTTTGACATTTTTCTGATGAGGGTGTCACGGTCAACAGTCAAAACGATCGTCCTTTAAGAGCGTTTGGAAAGAGACAAGTCTTCATTTGTGCTGCTCTGGTGGGAGGGGCCACGTACAGAGACGCTGGAGACGCTGCTGTGATAAACACCACAGAAAATTAACAAGATTTTAATAGAAAATATAATTAAAATATTTTAGTAGAAAATCAGCCGAGGGCCAGATTAAAGGTCTTGGAGGGCCGGATCTGGCCCCCGGGCCTTATGTTTGACACCTGTGGTCTATGTGGATCTGGGCTCTTTCACATGATACACAACTGCCCAGGGAGCACAATGTGCTGATGGTAAATGCACAAATACAACAATAGATACATGCTCTCTGTGTATTTTGACGGGGACGCTCGTGTAGAGCGTCAAAAAATAGGATGGATCCTATTTTCTGAAATCTACACACACAGGACGTGCTGCTCCGCGCGCGTATTATTTTACTTGGTACATATGTCAGTAACGCGCGTCACAATGCTTTTTTAACCTGGATTGAAATGGTGGGTTTTTAGTTTTTCTTCATACAAATTTGTTAAAATCACCGCAATATCAGCAGCGGTGAAACGCCGGAGGTGCGCCCGTGTAGACCGTGATCCTGAACGAAAGGACCGCCGCAGAAATCCGCGCTCCACCGAGATAAACGCAGCTGACGCCCCATCGCACTCGGGGTTCTCTCAGGGACGGTCCTAGATTCCAAGTTCTAGTCCAGGATTAGTCCTGGTTTGGACCTGGTTTAGTCTTGGTTTAGTCCTGGTTTAGTCCTGGTTTAGTCCTGGTTTAGACCTGGTTCAATTCTGGTTCAGTCCTGGTTTAGTCTTGGTTTATTCCTGGTTTAGACCTGGTTTATTCCTGGTTTAGACCTGGTTTAGTCCTGGTTTAGACCTGGTTCAGTTCTGGTTTAGTCCTAGTTCAGTTCTGGTTTAGACCTGGTTCAGTTCTGGTTTAGTCCTGGTTTGGACCTGGTTCAGTTCTGCTTCAGTCCTGGTTTAGACCTGGTTCAGTTCTGGTTTAGTCCTGGTTTAGTCTGGTTCAGTCCTGGTTCAGTCCATATACGGCGCAAAAGTTCAGCATCTTAACAGTTCTTTTGGTGAGAGTAAATTAAAAGTGCTGCAATAGTCATGTAATGTTTTACATTTTAAATACAGTAATATTGTAATGTAACAAATTACTTTGAAATGACAGTAACAAGTCATAAATAACACATTACAGTTTTAAAGTCACTTGTCCAACAGTGTATCTTGTAAAGTTGTTGTAAACTAGAAGTCAGTTTGAAAAATAAAAGCAGCCTTTCATTTACAGATCTCATCTAAATATAAAATGAACTGAACTTTGAACTAGTTCGAAATTAAAATTGTGAACTATGAACGTGCACTATTCATTTTGAACAAGTGTGAACTGAACTTTGAACTAGTTCATGAAAAGTGTGAACTTGCACAACACTGCTGCACATGCACATGTACACTGTAAATTTTAGATTCAATTCAGATTACAGTTTAGCTACACACATGTCAACTGACAACATTTAGAGTTGAATAAGGGCACCACTTTCTGAAGCTACTGTGAAAAAAATATTTCCCTTTTCTTGATTTATGTTGACAGTAAAGACATTGGCCTTTGTACCAGGTCCATGTAGACATGCCCAGTAATTAGAGATATTAACCTGGTCAACAAATCTGTAATCTGACAGTTAAACAGCTAATTCTGCCAAAGATTTCTGACCTTTTCTTCAGCTCAATTTTAAACTATTGTTGGGTTTCAGATAACATCATTTCAGATAACACTCTACTGGCAAATAATATTTGATACAGATGGGAGCCAGCTAAAATTTGTATTGTTAAAATGCATTTTTGTTGTAATACAAGTTAATGTGTGAAATCACTAATAAAAATGGTCAGGTTTAACATTTGTGAATTTTCTTTTTAGGTATTTCATAGCAAAGTACAATGTAATCCATAAGGAAATCTGGCTCCTGCCCCTCTTTGGGAGTATGAAATCATTACAGTTTAGATTCGGAAAACTACCAATAAGTATTGTTGTAAAGCTGAGGTGTCAAATGAACGCAGCCTACTTGTAAGCACTGTTGTAACTGATTTTGGTGTTTCTCTCAGGTGATGCTACCCACAGTGTTTAAGATTGATGTTCCTAAGGAAAAGATGGAAGGAGCTCTTGAGGACCTGGACTCTTCTCTGAAGGTCATTGAGGATGCATTCATCCAGGACAGAGCCTTCATTGCAGGGGAGCAAATCTCCATGGCTGACCTGGTGGCTGTCGTTGAAATCATGCAGGTGAGAGATTGGTTTTAGACTAGATTTTTTTTTCTGGGTTTGTCCTGGAGATAGAATTTTGTTTGGTTTAATCCTGGTTTAGTCCAAATGATGGCACTTGCAGACTTTTTTTTCGTAATTGTTTCCATTCAAATTGCAGCAACTGTTAGTACCTGATATTAAAGGATACCACTAGAAATAAAATTTATTATATTAACAAAATCAAATTAGGTAAAATGGATAAAAATGTGCAATGTAACCATTTCCTTCAATACTACTGAACAGCTTTGTATAAAAAATTAACCATCTTTGTCCTTGTTTCCAGACTGTAACATTGTATTAATTTTATGGACATTCATGAGTAATCTCCAAAGTAAAAATTTACAAATGTTTTACTTGATCATTTAAACCATCTTATAGACTTGGTTTATTCCTGGATTAGAAAAAGTCCTGGGTTAGACCAGATTTGCCCTGGTTTAGTCTTGAGTTAGTCTTGTGTTAGGCTTGGATTAGTCTTGGTTTATATTGAGTTTTGGTCCTGGATCAGACCTGGTTCAGAACTAAACCTGGACCTTTGAAAATGACTTGTTGACCCTGTGACACTTGGTAAAGCTCCTCACTCTCATCTCCCCCTCTCCATCGATCTGCAGCAGGCGTATATATTTGTTCAAAGACTGTCCAAACTCAGGGCTTGAACCAAGTCCAGGACTAAATTGAGACCAAACCAAGACTTTTCAAATTAAAACATATATTTGTTGACTTTTTACTGCCTCTTACTCTTGTTTCTTCTCTCTAGCCCTTTGCAGCGGGCGTAGATGTGTTCAAAGACCGTCCGAAACTCCTGGCGTGGAAAGAACGTGTGGTGCAGGCTGTGGGGAAGGAGCTTTTTGATGAGGCTCACGAGAAGATCCTGAATGCGCGAGAGGCCGTCAAACTGGTTGACTCCAGCAAGATGGAAGCTTTTAGACCTCGTGTGATCAGACTCATGCTCTGAGACAAGACAAAAATCATGTGTTCTGAGTATAACATAATCCCTGTGTAATCTTATAAAGGATCAATTTTTAACTTTTTTGGATAAAGTATTTCTTTATGGGACACACCAGTCAGCTTTTTCAGTTTTGATACTTTTGGAATTGGGCTGAACAATTTGGGATAAATATCAAATTGCAATTTTCTGCCAAGTATTGTGATTGCAATAAGATTTGCAATTTATGTTTTAATAATAGAATTCTGTTCTCATTTCACACTGGATTTCAGACATTTAAAAAATCTACACTTCCAAGACATATTTGTGTAGATATAAACTATGTCATTGGCAGGTTTTTATGCAGAATAAGTATAGTTTCTGCAGGAAATTGTGGTACTTCAAAAACTGCAGCCTTTGCAATTTCTTAACTGCGTCCATTCAAACTGCAGTTTTGATTTGATTCTGACTAATCTTGTATCCCTACTTGAAATTAAGCAACTGTCTGTACCTGATATTGAAGGATGCCACTAGAAATAGCTTTTAACTATTTGTCTTGGTTTTCATACAGTAGAATGGTGTATCCCCCTCTCAAATAGAGAAGGAGACTGTAATATTCTGTTCATTTTGACGCATCTTCAGAGAAATATCCAAAATTAAAAACCTCAAACATTTTCCCTGATAATTTAAATTGGTGACATGGTCCATTATCCCACTCACTATATTTATCCAACCACAACATCTGCAGATTAGCCAGAGGATGTGTGGATATCTGATCTCTAAAACAGTTCTCTAAAAACAGTTGCAATATTTTATTTAATCGGTTTGCAAAGACTTTGATCTAACTAGTCAAATTCAAGATTACTGCAGTCTAAAAATGCTCAGTGTTTTGGTCTTAACTGTTACCTTACATTGCCTGTTTATTCACCAGTATGTTAAAATAGTAATCCTTTTTTTTTTTTTCAATTAGACTTTATATTAAAATAAATGTCTTTTTTCATAGATTTTAGTGTTTGAGAATATTTTCAAGTACTCATCACTCAAATGAAACACTATCTGTTATTAACAGCAGTGGTGTATCCCAGTATCTTAGAAGTGACTTGTTATGTACAATCCTTGGAGCAAGACCCTTCACCACCTATGAATGTGATTGGTTGATGTTTGAAGAGGCTGTTGGCTCAGATATGCTTGAAATTCATGAATATTAGTTTTGATAAATATTGTATGATTCTCATGTCAGGTTTATTTTCCCCCGTATTGTGTTTCCAGTATTAATACCAGCAAAAATTATAATCCACAGTGATAGTTTCAATACTATTTTCTTTGTGGTTATAAAAATGTCACATTATACTTACACTATGACAACAACTTGGCTAATAGGCCTACTCAAACTGGGCTAGGCTACTTTTTACCATCAAAGTTTAAAACCTTTTTGTCAAATAAATGTAATATGAATTTGAATAATCTGTTGAACAGTAATAGACCAGTGAGGATCATGCTTACTATTTGCATGCTTTGTGAATCTTTAAACTGACTCTGGAGCGCTGGTGATTTTCATCATGTTTTCTGTGAACAGAAGAGGGAGTGGTGAAATGAGGACACAGAGATATGGCTGTTGTATAATGTGGAGGAATGTGAAAGTAACGCCTCCTCTGTGAACAGCTTGGATTCAAAACAAACTAAGACAGGACCAGGACTAAGAATAAAAATAGGACCATGAATAAGACTGGACCAGGTTTTAACCACGACTGAACCAGGACTAACCCCAGAATGTGAAGGTAATGCCTCCTCTGGGAACAATAGTGTTCGAAACAGACAATTTCCTCTGCTAAGACTAAACAAGGATTAGAACGGAACTGTCACTGGGCCAAGTCTGAGCTAAGACTAAAACTGGACCAGGAATGAATGAGGACTAAAACTAAATCAAGACTGAACCAGGACTAACATCATAATGTGTAAATGTAATGCCTCCCATGAGATCAGATGTGTCCAAAACATTCCATTTCCTCTGCTAAGACTAAACCAGGACTAGACCTATCATGCAGGTAAATTGGACTCAAATGCGACACAAGTACTCAGGCAAACAAAGTCTTATTTAAATAACAGAAAGTGTCCTATAACAGGGAATGTAATAATGGAAACTCAGACTGAAAATATAACAGAGGAATATATGATATAAAATGTGAACGGAAATATCCTCCAAGACTGGGAAATACACTAGTAAGAAATTAACTGGGAGTGAACTCAGGAACAGGGACAACAAACAGGGAAACACAGAATTGGAGAAGTCACAAACAGAACAGATTCAGGGAATACAGGGATTTCAGGTTTCAGGTTTTCAGAGCTTGAATGTCTGTCTTAACAGATCGACAATCTGGCAAAGACTGAGGGAGCAGAGGGAGTATATATAGACTGGGCCTGGGCTGATTACAGAATGAGCGGCACCTGTAGGGAAAGGAGGGAGGTGGCAAAAGGAGGACCGGAACAAACTGAGAAATGGACTGGATTGGGGAAAACAAGTAAACAAAAGGCAGAACTGTGACAAGACCAGGACTAAGACTGGACCAGGACTGGACCAAGACTGACCCTGGACTAAACCAGGACCTCCTGTGTGATCAGCAACTTGTGTCTAAAACAGACAATCTCCTCTGTTAAGACTGAACCAGGACTGAATCAAGACTAAGACTGAACCAGCAGTAACCCCATGTGAAAGTATAATGCCTCCCATGGGATCAGATTTGTCCAAAAAAGACCATTTCCTCTTCTAAAAGACTGGACTAAACCAGGACTGAACCAGGATTGAACTAGGACTAAACCAAGAGTAAACCAAATGTGATAGTAACACTCAGCAGAATATGATTAATTAATTCATTAATGATTGTGTTATTTAAAGGTATACTGTAACATTTCTAATAAAGTAGTTATTGCTCTTGGTCAGTTATTTAATACAAATGGGAGAGTTCTTGAGTGTAGTCAAAGAAATGTTCAGATTTAGCGTATGTGTATTGACAAACAAACATGACAAACAGAAAATGTTCCATTGGTTTAAAACTATGGCTTGTATGTACCCTTAATTGTTTAACTCAACAATATAACTGTGACTGCCCAATATTTTATAAGATTTTGAGTACTAAATTTAACCAGTTTAAGCAAAAATGCATTCCAATTTGTGACATCTTGATACATATATTTACACATTAATATTTTTCATGTAAAATCACAAAAATATATCTTAGAATAGCTTTTTGATATCCATCAATAAAAACTGTCTATTTAGTAAACAAAAATGTGTTGTAGATAAGCTCAGAAAGGATCCAAAGAAGACTGCACTGTTGCTTGACATGCAGGTGAACTCTACCACAAAAGCTACTCTTTAAATGACAAAACATTTTATTCTGAAAGTTTTTGTGGAACCTAAATCATATTGTCTTGCATTTGAGGGCTGGGTACTCAATATTTTGATTTTTAACTACCCCTTATCCCCTCCTAGCTTTAGACTTACTTGTGATTAATAAAACAAAAAATCAGACTCATACATATAGGGCCTTATTTATCAAGTGTTTACTCATGTGCTAGATAACTAAACACGCATGTGTAATTGTGTGCTTGGTGATGGTTGTTGACAATTATGGGGGTTATGGTTAAAATAGACAATGTTTTTTAAATGGTTGTTAAAAAAAACAAAACTTAAACCTATATAAATGGGAAAAATAGTTCCATCCAGCCCTTATACCATAGACTGTATAAAGTTACAAACGCAATGTTATTATTTGATGCCTTTTTTCCCTTGCGGTTCCCGTAGTCATCTTCACAGCCAAAACAGCATCTGACTCATAGCGTTTTCGAACATGGATGAATATTCTCGTGTGAAATCAACAAAACTTGTTTTAAAGGGGCAAAGTAAGGGGTGAGTTATTGTATGTATAAGTTCAGCTGTTCGATCTATTTGATCTGGAAATCATACGTTGATTTGAATTTGTGGACTCAATGCTAACCCAAAATGCTAAGTAGCATGTAGCAAGTCATATAAGGCTTTTGTTTTATGTTTTTTCTTGTGATTTTTTTTGCTGCATTGTACTCAGTAACTTTACGCTTTAAATTAGTTTTAAAATGTTGTGTAAAAACTTAGTTGATAAATGCTTAAAATAAACTCGAAATTAATGAGTGTTAAAACAAACTCGTTATCAATGTTTGGGTTGCGAAGTAATTGTTCTCTCATTCACGTATCGGGTTCAACTTTTTACAGAAAGAAAAAAAAGCACAAGGACAAGAAGAGAAAAGCTGAAGATGGCGCAGACAAACTGGATATTGTTGGTATGTGTGTTAGGGTGGAAGATGGTTACAGAGCTGTAGCTCAACGCAGACATTTACGATACAGTGCTACATACATTTCCACATACAAAAACAACAGTGCCTTTTAACATGCTTCTTTGCTAGGATGATGCATGTCAAGTCAAGTCATTGTCAAGAAGGGCTGGTCAGTTGATTTTAAGCACATCATAATTTTACTCTTGCTGTTAGGTGGCTGGTGGGTGGTCAAACGATTTGGAGAAATTACTGGGACAGTTGCCATAGAGATGGAGAATAACGCTTATGTTCATGCACTGGACACTGGACTCTTCACACTCGGAGCTCCACATCCAGGTAAGGAGAATCAAATCCTGTCATGCATAATACATAATTTATACTTTACTGGATGGAGTTTGGAAATACTCCCCAGCTTTGTGAAGGTCTCTCTTATGTCCCCCAGTTTCTCCTACCACTAAAAACAGTCCCCTGAAAAAGTTGATTTTGAACCTTTTAAGTGTGTCTAATGGGTGTTTTTTGTAGGTCTAGAAAGCAATATTATTTCTGAATTATTATAACCTTGTCCAAAACAAAGTTTCATTATTTATTTTGGTGAATAGTCTAATAAACATTTATTGGACAGCACTGTAAGATAACATATATTGCAACATTTTAACGCAACATGCATAAATTGCTGACTGTTGACAGTGGTTTGTGACAGAGCAGAAAGTCTAATAATTTTGATGTTATTTATGTTTTATTTATATTTAAGTGTATAAAGGACTAATAAGGAGTTTCTTTTATTTCTATCTCTGTAT